AAACATATAACTTGTTCAATTGTAGGGTTTTGCTTTGTTTAAGAATAAAATTAAGACCATATTGTTCCCTTGAGATAACTAATGAGAACAGTTTTTTATTTTTTAAAAAAATTCTGTATTTTATTTTTATAGGCAAACGAAGATTTAATATTAAATTGTGGAAGACATTCACTGATTGTTTTAACTGTCTGCCTATAGCTGCCATAGTGGATGAGAAAATCTTCTGCTGTCATGGAGGTAGAGTGATAAATTTGCCATATGATTTCTTCGTTTTTTTTTTCCATTTAGAAAAGAGCTGTAACACACACCTTTAATCCCAGCACTCTGGAGGCAGAGGCAGGCTGAAGCAGGTGGATCTCTGTGAGTTCAAGGCCAGCCTGGTCTACATAGCAAGTTCCAGGCCAGCTGGGGCTACCGGGAGACCCTGTCTCAAAAAGACCAAAAAAAGAAAAGAGCTCTAATAGTTAAAATGCTATAAGGAAAGTGGGTATGGTGCAGCAAGTTGAAGGCCAGTCAGGGGTAGGGCTACATGGGACAAACTAAACAATATTAGGAAGAAATAAAGCAGTACTTGTGTGAAACTCAGTTGATTAAAACTGCTTTAAGCATATCTAAAACCTCCTTCAGTAATTAGGAATTTGTGGTTATTTATGAATAATGGAAATTTAACATTTCTTTTTAAAGAAAGTAACTACAAGTGAATGTGTTGGCAAACGCCTGTAATCCCAACATTCAGAGCTAAGGCAGAAGAATCTCATGGCCAGCCTGGGATACAAATACTATCTGAAAAAAGATGACAAGTATTTTCACTTCGCCTTGGTTTAGGCTTGATTTTAGTTGTTTAATTTATTGTGTGCTGAGGATCAAGACCAGGGCTCCCACGTGCTAGGCAAGCATTCTACCACTGATCTGTATCTGTAACCCATTCCTCACATTTTGCCATCAGTAAAAATGAGAGGGTAATTATTTTCTTGAATGTATTAAATACCTTCCATCAAACTCTAGCTGAATTTCCAAATGAGTTCTAAGTTTTGTGCAATGTCAGTTTAAGTCCTAAAAATAATTTTTCAAGTACACTTATAAGTTACTTTATGTGGATTTGTAAAACAAGCTTATTTGAAATATTAAGTGGCCTGCACTTGGCTAGATGCTATGAAAGCAGTGTGTGGGGGGGTCTCTAGTATATGTATGTGTGTGTACAGTGTGTGTATAGAAATCAGACAACAGTTCTCAGGAGTTGGTTATCTCTTGTCACCTTATGGAGTCCAGTGGTCAAACTTAGATCATCAGGCCTGTGCACTAGTGTCTCTGCCCCCTGAGCCATCTTGCTGACCCTGATCTGATCATTTTGAAGAATTTCAAAGCCTATTGATGGAAGCCCATTTTGAACAATTAACATGCTAATTTTAAAGCCAGCAGATAAGCCAGGCGTGGTGGGGCACGCCTTTAATCCCCACACTTTGGAGGCAGAAGCAGGATCTCTTGAGTTCAAGGCCAGTCTGGTCTACATAGTGAGTTCCAGGCCAGCTGGGGCTACTGGGAAAACTGTCTCAAAAAAAGACCAAAGAAATAAATATAAAAAATAAAAAAAACCAGCTGGGGCTACAGGGAGACCCTGTCTCAAAAAGACAAAACAAAACAAAAAAACCTATGTATGCATTTATTTATGAAAACCACTGAGCAATAAAAAGGATTTAATTAGTCATGAGAAATTAGGAAAGGGAGAGATGGAGCAAATGTTTCTGGAAACATGGGTATTAGAGGAGAAGTGAAAAGAACTTGAGAAAGTCCAGGTGCTATCTAAGTTCAGATGTGAGGACTGCCTTAACTAGAATGTTAAGTACGTTTGGGAGAATGAGGACACAAGAATATAGAGATTTAGAATTAAGATCAAAAAAGTTTTGGGGGAATAATAGTTCAGTTGGTAAGTGCTTACCATAAAAGCATGAGGACCCGAGTTCAGTCTCCAAAACCCATGTAAGAAAGCGGGGCATGGAGGTGTGTGTACCCTTAAAATCTCAATGCTAGTGAGGTGGAGACAGGCAGATTCCTGAAGTTCGCTGGCCAGCCAGCCTAGCTTAATTAATAAGCTTTAGGCCAGTGAGCTTCTAGCTCAAAACGAAAGTGGCTGGCCTCTGAGGAGCAGCTCGGAGATTGACCTGACTTCTACACACACGTTTATTGAATGGCTTATATTGGATTTTTATATAAGGAAGAAATTTAATAAATGAGAAAATTATTTCTCAGTAGCATGTGGGATATAATATATGGGAAGCCTTAAAGTGATCTTTCCATAGATAATAAACATTTAAGAAATTGTAGTTCTTGTGTATTTGGTGTAGCTAAGAAGAAGAAATACAGCAATACAGACTGTATTTAGCTTCGTTCCTTGTGGTGATATATTACCTGCTAGAGAAATTAGCAGGTAATAATAGCTTGGTTTAAGATTGCAAAGTGCCAGGTGAGGTGGCACATGCCTTTAATCCCAGCAGAGGTGGAGGCAGGCAGATCTCTTGTGAGTTCCAGGCCAGCTTGGTCTACCTAGTGTGTTCCAGGCCAGCTGGGGCTACCAAAAAAACAGATAGCAAAATATGTTCGTGTGCTTTTTCTTGGTTATCCTTCTGATTCACAGTTTATTATGCATTTATGACGATAATGAACATATTGAGGTATGATATGGAAAAAGGTACTGAGGACATTATGAGGCATTTTAACTTAGAAGTAAAAATGTTTTATTTATAGGACTGTCACCAGACCTACAATCTATGGAACAGATTCGGAGAATCATGAGACCCACTGATGTCCCTGATACTGGTACGTATATACAGGTTTAGTTCATTGCTTTATGTAAAATATTGGTGTATATGAATGTAATTATATTGTGAAAATAGTATAGGTTTAATAAATAATATGTGCCGGGCATGGTGGTGCACGCCTATAGTCCCAGCACTTGGGAGGCAGAGGCAGGTGGATCTCAGTGAGTTCAAGGCCAGCCTGGTCTACATAGTGAGTTCCAGGACAGATGGGGATACAGGGAGACCCTGTTTCATAAATAAAAAATAAATAAATAAATAAATAAATAAATAAAATAAGGCTGGGCATGGTGCTGCATACCTTTAATCCCAGCACTTAGGAATTAGAGGCAGGAGGAACTCTCTGAATTCAAGGCCTTCCTGGGTTACATAGCAAGTTCCAGGCCAGTTAGGGCTATATACTTGAGACCCTGTCTCCAAAAAATACAGATAATAATGTTATATCTGATTAGTATTTCATGTCTCCCTGGTCATTGCCCAAAATGCAGAACTTTAAAATTTTTATATAACCATAATACTGTTCTGTCAGATTTATTTTATCACACAAAAAAAGAATCTTGTCATTGGTTCCCTTTCATATCTAAAAATTCCCCCACTCTTTTTAATTAAAATTATCTTTATGGGGCTGAAGAGATGGCTTAGCAGTTAAGAGCACTGGCTGTTCTTGCAGAAGACCCGGGTTCAAATCCCAGCACCCACATGGCGGCTAACAACCATCTGTAACTACAGTTCCAGGGGATCCGATACCCTCTTCTGTCCTCCTTGGGCATTGCACAACATGGGTGCACTTGCATATATGCACGCAGTACATGCATACAAGGAAAATAAACATAAAGCAAAAAAATTTATTTTACTATCTTAGGGGTGCACTTGCCTGTTAAACTGTCCAGTAGGTTTTTGTTCTTTTCTGCATCTGTGTTTTTAAATTTTCAGAGCTTGTAAGGTTTTATAGAGATACAGATAATTTAATAAAAATTGTAAAGAGTGTATGAAATTTTATGAAAGTTAAGTATTCAGGCATTAGGAGTAATTCTTCAAGTTGTTTAAAAAAATACACTAAGTGGTTTTAAAAGAAAAACAAGGACCAGTGCACACTAGATTCATTTCCCATTCTTAAGATTCAAATACTGGTAAGTATTAAAAAAATATTCATGGACCAGTATCTGAGCAAAACATGGCTAAAGCTCTAATTGGACTGATATAAACAACCATTCGGTTGCTTATTTCCAAGTGTCATTGGATTGTTTCACTCCTTATACTGAAAGTCTGGTAGTATTACTCTAAGCTATTCATGATGCACCTTGACCTTTAAAAATAGCTATATGTTACAGTAAGTTGCTTCACAACTTAAGTAACAATTTGTTTAAAAAAGGAAAACATGGATTGTATCACAAATTTTAATTATCATTGTAAAATATGCTTGACTAAACCTAATGGAAATTACTATTATAAATCTTTTTATTTAAAATGTCATTTTATAATAGCATACAGTGTTACTAGTCATTGTTCAAAATGTCTTTATAGTTCAGAGGTAAATCAGTTTCAAGGATGATATTAAGTCATTTTTAGCACAGTTTAATGGAAAGTTTCTGAGATGCTGAAAATACTTGTTTTCATGTTTGATGTTCTGTACAACCTTTATTAAGTATTTAATATATTATAACCTAATTGATTGTGATACTTGTTAAACATTGAGTCTTGACTTTGAAATTCTCCACTTAGAATTACAGGTTGCTGTTGATCCTATCGTTTGCTTTTTTATGCATTCAAACTGCCACTACCACATTTCCAAAATCTTAGCTATAAGTATGTTCTAGTTTTTTAATGCTGTTTTGTTTCTAAGACAGGGTCTCACTGTGCAGCCCTTGGCTGGTCTGGAACTCACTAGGTAGACCACGCTGGCCTCAGTCCGCCTGCCTCTGCCTCCCAAATGCTAGGATTAAAGGTGTTTGCCACCATACCCAATATACATTCTAACTTTTTTACAGTTTTCCTGCTACAATGAAATTACAGATTCCTAATACCTTGAGTCTCTACTTGCTGCTTCATATCTGGAAACAGAATAGAACTATAAGCATTGTAGTATACTTGGTATATATGTAATTTTTTAAAGAGGTTAGAAAGGGCTTAATGAATTGAGACTATACAGTGGACTTTTGTGTGTGTGCTGAATTTCTTAAAATGTAATGAGAGCTTCAAAATACCAGTGATAGAAATTAAGTAAGAATACATTGTCACTATTTTTCCGAAGGATTTTAGTTGGTTCTTCTAAAAAAATAGGCTATATTTTGTTTCTGCTAAGCTATATAAAATTTGTAGATTTTTTTAAATTCTAAAACTTTATCATAAGAAATGTTTTTAGCCACTGTAATTCTTAGAAAACTATTCAGTATAACCATCTCAACATCTATTCCCCTCCTAATCTCAAATATAGCTTGACTTTTATCCATTCTTCTTTGTTGTTGTGGTGGTTTGTTTGGGGGGTTTTTTTGGTTTTTTTTTAGACAAAGTCGCCCTGTATCCCCAGCTGGCCTGGAACTTGCTGAGTGGACCAGGCTGGCCTTGAACTCACCAAGATCCACCTTCTGCCTCCAGAGTGCTGGGATTAAAGGCGTGCACCACCATGCCAGGCCTGACTTTTGTCCATTCTTGCTCTTCAAGAAGCTGCTTTTCATTCAGATCTAGTGGTCTGGTCTATAAGTGGTGTGGTTTTCGTTTTGTTAGTTTTTCCATTTCCTGCTTGCTGACAGTTCTTTCCCTTCTGAGCCCCTTTGCATACTACTATTCTTTATTTTCAGCATTCCTTCTCAATCCCTTTTGCTCATATCCTCTCCTCTACTTGCCTTTTAAATGTTTGGATTTCTTAGAGTTAAGTCCTTACAGCTTTTCCTAGGCTCAGACTTTTCTTTAAGAGTCTGATCTAATTTTGTTCCTTTACCTTATTTTTACTTTTTAAATCCTCTAAGCCTGAGTAGATACTATGCAAGCAGATTCTAAAGTAGAAGAACAAAGGATTCAAAGTGGACAAGATCATCCTAGAGGGGAAAAAAAATTGAGTGGAGATACTAGTCCTACAAATATAAAATTATGTTAGTGACTTAATAAATGATAGCAACAAGCTGGTGCTCAGTAGTGTAACTATAAAGAAAGATGAGCTATTCAGGAAATGGTACCAGACCAAATGAAGAAACTATATGCAAAAGATTTCCATACATTGTTAGACTTTTAGAATGATTACTACATGTATTTCCTAGATGTAGAAATCATTAAAAACTACTGCCTTAAACCAGGCAAAATTATATTTGTATGGTAGCTTTTAACAAAGGATGGCTAAGATGGATTGGAATACTTAGGGGCAAATGATTGTCATCAGAGTGTGTGAAGGCAGGAGAAATGTCATGTGGATATGTTTTGTTCTGTGTTTTCTTTTCTTCCTTTTTTTTTTTTTCATTGTTGCATTTCTGTCTTCTTTAAGGTTTGCTCTGTGATTTGCTGTGGTCTGACCCAGATAAGGATGTACAAGGCTGGGGAGAAAATGATCGTGGTGTTTCTTTCACTTTTGGAGCTGATGTAGTCAGTAAATTTCTGAATCGTCATGATTTAGACTTGATTTGTCGAGCTCATCAGGTATGAAATATAAGACCTTGGATATGTTGTTGTTAATTCCCCACAGTTTCATATATATAGTTACGATTTTTTAATTTTTTTACATACTACAGATTGAACCTAGGGACTCCATGTTCTCTTTATTATATTTATTTTTGGGGAGACTGATACTTAAGAAAGGTAATGTGGGGGCTGGAGAGATGACAGTTAGGAGTGCTTGCTGCTTCTCAGAGGAACTAATCTAAAAAATTTTTCCTTGTACAAGAAAAATAGTAGGAGAGGCATCTAGTACCTGGTTCTCAAAATTCAGTCAGTGCTTTGTTAGCCCTACCTCTCCTCTTTAGAAATGCTGATAAAAGCATTTCTAAAGAATATATTTTTTGTAGTTCTGTAAAGTACAGCCCTAACAGATTTTTCAGTGCTTTGCTAAAATTTTCTTGATGTGGTCTACATTTCCTGTATGGCTTTTATATAATGTTGATAATAGTCTAGTGTTACCTTAATGTATGGGTATTGTCTTTTGACAGAAACAAACTGTTCTGTAAGAAACTTTTTGAAACATTTGAGGGCTGTGATTATAGAATTATTAATAATGTGTCAATTATTTTAGTTGTAAAAAATGAGTATTATAAAAAGAATGTTCACATATCTTAGAAATACATACTCAGTGCTCATGCTCTATAAAACATAGTTGGTATATAATTGACTGGAAGGCATTTCTGAAAATATTTCTTGGCCTCTTTTTGTTTGGTTTTTTGGTTTTTGAAATTTTGTGTGTGTGTGTGAAAGAGGGATGTCTTTGTGCACATGAGTACAAGGTTCCTGAGAAGGCTAGAGGCATCAGAACTCCTGGAGCTGGAGTTACAGGCAGTTAGTTCCCGACATGAGTGCTCAGGATTGAACTTGATCCTTATCAAGAACAGTACACACTTTTTGGGGGGGGGGGTCTTTTTGAGACCAGGCCTCCCTGTAGCTCCAGCTAGCCTGGGAACTTGATATATAGACCTCAGACTCACAGAGGTCACCTGCATCTGCCTCCCAAGTGCTCAGCTCAGTACAGCTTTTAACTGCTAAGCTGATCCTGTTCTCCTTGGGTTATAGGATTTTGTTTTGTTTTTATTCGTTTTTTTTTTTTTTTTTTTTTTTTTTTTTTTTTTTTTTTTTTTTTAAGTAAGGTCTCACTGTGTAGTCCAGGATGGCCTCAAACTCAGTCCTAACTTTTTGAAATTTATAAATATACCTAAGATTTTCACTATTTTACCTGGGCATGGTGATGGCATTCTTATAATTCCAGCACTCAGGCTGGGCAGGAGGATACTGTGAATTTGAAGCCAACCTGGTCTACAGAGTTCTAGGCTAGGGCTATATTAGTGAGACCTTGTCTCAGATGTGCACGTGCACATGCTGCTAGGTGGGTGGTTCACAATACTTTTCTCCTCCAGACACTTAGCTACTACTACCTCTGTGTGATCCTATGTGATAAATGAAAATGATTAGTTTCCTCTTCATGTTATATATCACATACTTCTTTCCTACTAGTATTTCCTAGTTGCTTAGTTTACAGAGTTAGGGTCCCAAATTTTTTACTTTGGTTATTAGCTTTTAACGAGCATAATATTGATTTTGAACATTATGCACTTGTTAGCTATCAGAGCAAAGTTGCTAAGCTTCCTAACTAAAATCCCCACTAATAATTAATGCTTTCAGCTATAGATCTCCATTCACTGATCTTTTCAAATATTGGTGATTTCAAAATGTCAAGTTGTTGCGCTACATTACTTTGCATGACTTTTTGTAGAAAGCATCAAAATCTTCCTTCGCTTGTTTTTAGTCATATTGTCTTTAACACTAATGCTGACAATATAAAACATTACAAACTTAAAATATTCCCTTAGAAAATTGTTTGACAGAATGACCAAAACCTAAGAAAACATGTACTGAATGCCAAGCACTATACTTCAAGCATAACTAATGTGGCTGTAGTCTTGTCAGAAGATAGCTGAAGTAGCCTTCAAGCAGTAAATATTGAATGCTGTATTGCTTTTGGGGCGGGGGTTGGGATGTTGAAATAGGGTTTCCCTGTAGCCCCAGCTAGCCTGGAATTTGCCATGTAGACCAGGTTGGCCTGCCTGCCTCTACCGCTCAAGTGCTGGGATTAAAGGCATGCACTACCATGCCTGGCTCTGTATTGTATTGTTTAAAAATTTATTTTGTGTCTAGGGGGTGTATGCCACAGCACACATGGAGGTCTTGCAGAAGTCTTTTTTCCTTCTACCATGTAGATCCCAGGGCTCAAACTCACATGTTGGCACTTGGTGGCACATGCCTTTACCTGCTGAGCCATCTTGCCAACCCCAAATACTATAAATAAATAAAATATTTACATGGTAGTACATGCTTCATATTTGTAGACCTGAGAAAATAAATTTGTTCAAAATGCTTAGGAATTAACCACAAATTCTAGATGTTTCAGTATAATCATAGCTTAAAAGTAAAGCAAGAGGGCCACTGGGCATGGTGGCACACACCTTTAATCCCAGCAATGGGAGGTCAAGGCCAGCCTAGTCTACATAGTAAGTTCCAGGCCAGCTGTGACTACAGGGAGATCCTGCCTCAAAAAGGGGCGGAGGGGGGGGGGAGCAAGAAAAAAGCTCTTCCCAAAGCCTGTTTTTCATGTTTGACTATTGTTCATTAAAAATTCTAGTACTGGGGCTGGAGAGATGGCCCAGCAATTAAGAACACTGGCTGTTCTTGCAGAAGACCATGGTTTGAATCCCAGCACCCACATGGCAGCTAACAAAAGTGTGTGACTCCACTTCCAGGGGATCCGACAGCCTCTTCTGTCCTCCATGGGCATTGCACAACATGGGTATACTTAACCTACATGCAGGCAGCATACACATACACATAAAATAAAAATAATAAAATATTTTTAAAAAAAAATCTAAGACTGGAGAGAGATGGCTCAGTGGTTAAGAGCTCTTGCAGAGAATCCAGGTTCCGTTCCCAGCACCCACTTGATGGCTAACAACCTTTCTTAACTCCAATTCCAGGGAATCTAACACCCTCTTCTGGCTTCCACAGGCATTGCACGCACATAGTACTCTGACATACAAACAGACAAAACACTCAGACATAAAATAAAGGTAGATTAAAAAAATGTTTGATTCTATGGTTGGATTACAGTGCTATCTGCCAAAAGTAGTACATGGGTAACCCACCTCCCTGTTGTTGATACACATAAAAGCTTATTTTGGTTTTGTTTCATGGGGAGGCTTTGAAATAGATTTTTAAGCTAAATCCCTACCATTGTAGAAAACACATGTAATACTGATATTCTAAGTGAAGTTTAAGGATTTAAAAAAAAAAATCACAGCTCCCTTCCAAAGAGGAGGGTTCATTCTGGTTTTTTTTTGTGGGTTTTTTTTGGGGGGGGGCAGGGTGGTCTTTTAGAGTGGGGTCTCCCTGTAACCTCAGCTGGCCTAGAACTCACAGAGATCCGCCTGCCTCTGCCTCCTAGTTTGTTTTCTTGTACAGGGGAATGAAGCCAGGGCCATGCACTTGGTAGGAAAGTGCTCTACCACTGAACTACATCCTGGCTCAGAGATGATTTTGTTGTTATTGTTGTTTGATCTTTGCTTCATTAATCTCCATTAGCACAGATTCTTAAAAACTACCCACTAATGAATGGTTTTGTCCTTTTTATATTTCCTTTGATAGGTGGTGGAAGATGGATATGAATTTTTTGCTAAGCGACAATTGGTGACCCTATTTTCAGCCCCAAATTACTGTGGCGAGTTTGACAATGCTGGTGGTATGATGAGTGTGGATGAAACATTGATGTGTTCATTTCAGGTATGATATGAAATACATAAAAAAAAAAATTTTTTTTTTAGATAGGGCCTTACCATATAGCCCAGGCTGCCCTTGAACTTGTAGTCTTCTTGCCTTTACCTCTTCAATAATGGGATTATAGGCATATGCCTGAGTCTAAATTTCCAACAATTCATTCAAACTATTGTCATAATTTTTCTTTTAGAGTAATCTCTCCTTGAGTTAGGTATGTTAAAAATCAGTTTAATTCAGAATTTCTTACCATTCAAGGCTGGAAATATATATTCAGTGGCTGTATTAGTTACTTTTCTATTGCTGTGATAAAACACCATGACCAAGGCAACTCACAGAAGATTTTATTTGGGCTTATAGTTCCAGAGGGATAAGAGTCCGTCATGGAGGGAGACAGTTGGAGCAGGAACAGAAAGCTGAGAGCTCACATCTTTAAGTAGGCATAGGAAGCATAGAGCAAAGCTGGAGGTGGGGAACAAGGTTTGTGAACTCTGAAAACCCGCCCCCAGTGGTGTGCTTACTCTAGCAAGACTGTACTACTAAACCTCCACAAACAGTGTTACCAACTGGGGACAAAATGTTCAAATACTTGGGAGCTTGTGGGGGACATTGATTCACATCACCACATTGGTAAAGTGCTTTGCTAGCTCATGCAAGGTCTTAATGATTCAATCTCAGTACAGCAGAAGGGAACAAAAAGAAACGAAAAAAAGTGATTTCTAGCTAGAAGTGTTGGTGCAGTGGCAAGTGATTACTAGCTGGGAATAGAGGGCAGTGGCAAGTAGATCTCTGTGAGTTCAAGGCCAGCCTGGTCTACTTAGCGAGTTCCAAGCCAGCTGGGGCTACAGTACAGGGAGACCCTGTCTCAAAAACACCAAAAATAAATAAATAAATAAATTGTTTTACAGTACAGGGAGACCCTGTCTCAAAAACACCAAAAAAAAAAAAAAAAGTTTTCATTGTATGTCTATGAGTGTATTGCATGCATGTAAATATACCTGTGTCATGCAATGCCCATAGAGATCAGAAGAGGGCATCAGATCCCCTGGAACTGGAGTTAAGAACAGTTGTTAGCTTCCATGTGAATGCTAGGAATTGAATCATTCTAAATTATTTATAATGCCTAGTATAATATATGCTACATAAATAAAAATTACATTGTTTTTGAGAATAACAAATGTCTGTACATGCTCAGTATAGAAACCTTTTTCTTTCTGAATATTTTTACTCTAAAATTAGTTTAGTTCTTGCATGTGAAACCCAACTCGTATGTAGAACTGATTGTATTTCTCTAAATTCTCATTTATATTTTAAAGTCATAGTGGAGTTAGATTAGTGTGTGTCTATTACTGAAGCATTGCAGTGCTCTGAGTATTTTTTTTTTTAATGTGCATGAATGTTATACCTGCATGTGTGTAAGTGTACCCAAGTCATGTAATGCCCATGGAGTCAGAAGAGGGTGTTGGATTCCCCTGGATCTGGGGTTACAGAGGTTGTTAACCACCTACATAGGTGCTGGGAATCGAACCCATGTTCTCTGCAGGAGCAGCCAATGCTGTTAACCATTGAGCCACCACCTCTAGTGCTCTGAATAATTTTAAGAAATCATTTTTTTAAGTTTTTCCTATACTCTTTTTTTTTTTTTTTTTTTTTTTTTTTTTGGTAAAATTGTATTTTCTAACAGGTAGAAGCTCTGTTTATGTCCACTGTAGTGAGTATAGTAAAAGACAGTAACAAGTGTTTACAAAGACATGGAAATTCAGGTCCAAACAAAATGTATATGTATAGCCTCATTGATAATAGCTAAGAACAGAAACAACCTCAGAACTGAAAAATGGATAAATAAAATGTGCTATTGCCATCCATATGGTGGGATATAATTTAGCAATGAAAAAGGATAAAGGCACTGATACATAATACAGCATAGAGGAGCCTTGGAAAAAATGGAAGAAGCCATTCACAAAAGACCACATATATGATGGTAGTTACATGAAATGTTTAGACTAGATGAGTCTAGAAACAAGCAGTTGCTAATGGTTGTTGGCAGATGTGAAGTGACTAGGAACCCAAAGGGTTAGACAGCGCCTTTAATTCTAGCACTTGAGAGGCAGAAGCAAACAGATGGATCTCTGTTGGATGGAGGCTAGCCTGGTCTGTATAGTGAGTTCCAGGACTGCTGGAACTGCAGGGAGACCCTGTCTCAAAAAGGAAAAAAAATCTAAGCAAGTGTATAACTCTAAATAAGTATACTAAAAAAAAGCCCTGCATACTTTAAATGGTTTAACTTTATGGTATAGGAAATGTGATATAGAAAATACCATGTTTTGTTTGGGACGGTCTTCCTGTAGCCCCAGCTGATCTAGAACTTGCTATGTAGACCAGGCTGACCTAGAACTAACAGATCTGCCTGCCTCTGCCTTCTGAGTGCTGGGTCTTTGGAATTAAAGGTGTGTGTTGCCATGCCTTTAAGATCTACCTGAAAATAAAAAATTAAGTCCAAACTGGGTATGGTGGCCTATGCATGTAATTCCAGCATTCAGAATGCTGAGGCAGAAGGATTGCAGTGAGTTGGTGGCCAGCCAAACTACACTGAAAACCTGTCTCAAAAACCAGGGGTGGGGGAGTCGGGGGGGGTTGTGGGGAGGTCCAAAGAGCTTGTGACATCAAGATTTATTACTGTAGTTTAAGTATGTCAGAAATAAGATAAGAACCTAGGACTTTTGACTCGATCCAATGTTCTTTTCCTTTCTGAGATGAACTAATAGAGAAAATTTTAACTTAAAGTTAAGGATTGGGCAGTTGATTGAGTCCATGTACCCAAGCTTTTTTTCCTACAATCTTAAGTGAATGGTAAACAGTAAGTTTTCTTTCTTGGGGAAGGGCAGGGGATTTGTGCATGTTAAGCACTGGCTCTGCCACTGAGCTGCACTACCAAGCTTAGCATTCCCTAAGTATAAAAACTGTTGCTGGACTAGTCTCATATTTTTGTTTTACAATTTATATCCTTTATTGAAAGAATAATACTGTTAATATATTCTTTATTTCAAGATATTGAAACCATCTGAAAAGAAAGCTAAGTACCAGTATGGTGGACTGAATTCTGGACGTCCTGTCACTCCACCTCGAACAGCTAATCCACCGAAGAAAAGGTGAAGAAAGGAATTCTGTAAAGAAATCATCCATTTGTTAAGGACATACTTCATAATATATAAGTGTGCACTGTAAAACCATCCAGCCATTTGACACCCTTTATGATGTCACACCTTTAACTTAAGGAGACGGGTAAAGGATCTTAAATTTTTTTCTAATAGAAAGATGTGCTACACTGTATTGTAATAAGTATACTCTGTTATAATATTCAACAAAGTTAAATCCAAATTCAAAAGTATCCATTAAAGTTACATCTTCACGTATCACAATTTTTAAAGTTGAAAAGCATCGCAGTTAAATTAGATGTGATAGTTAACCAGATGAAAGCATGATGATCCATCTGTGTAATGTGGTTTCAGTGTTGCTTGGTTGTTGAATTATTTTGGGCTTGTTTTGTTTTGTTTTTTGCTAGAATAATGGCAACTACTTTTCATGTTTTTCTCTAAACATTTTAAAATGAAATATGGGAAGAGCTTTAAAGACATTCACCAACTATTATTTTCTTTCACTTACCTACTTACGTAACTGTTTGATCTTACTGAGAAAACTTATTCTTCATTACAGTAAAAAGGAATTGTAGAGGTTGATAGTTTTTTAAAATATACAAACTATCCAGTCCAATGATTTTAATCAAACAGTTTGGGCAAACTTTGCAGCTGATAATGAATATATTGCTTTTTACAAAATTGGCACTGATATGGATTTGTGCACTCTTAATTTTTAATTTATTGATGCTCTATTGTGCAGTAGAATTTCATTTAAGGTAAGGCTCATATAGTATTACCCAAAAGTAGTTGGTAATGTTATTATGTGGTACCTTGGCTTTAGGTTTTAATTCACACGAAACACCTTTTGGCATGCTTAACTTTCTGGTAATACCCTCACCTGCATTGGTTTTGTTTTTTTGGGTTTTTGTTGTTTGTTTTTAGATCCACAGAACATGAGAATCCTTTTTTGACAAGCCTTGGAAAGCTGACACTATTTTCTTTTCCCCTCTATAAGAAGGATGTATTTAAATGAATGCTGGTTGGTGGGACATTTTGTCAACTATGGGTTTTGGGTGCTTCACTGTCTAATAATTGCCATGTGAATGTTGTATTCAATTGTAAGGCTATGTCACTAAAGATTTTTATTCTGAGTTTCCATAATCAAAGGTCATGATATTGTATAGATATGCTTTGTAGTGAAGTATAGTAGCAATAATTTCTGTACATGATCAAGAGTTTACTGCAGCATTTCTTTTCCTGTTCTGTCTTTTTTTAAGGGGTAGTACTAACAAATGTCAAGGAGTAGAAAAGTCAACAAAGATTTTAGAAGGAGAACTTACAGGATATTGAGCATTGTCAAATTTGTATGCTTCATAGGGATGGACATAATATTTATATAATGCCCTTCTATCTGTGTCACCATAGACATGAAACCATAATATTGTCTTTGAAAATGTTAAATTGAGAATTCTGTTAACATTTTATGGATTGGCACATTGTATTGCTGTAAGAAACATTTGATTTTTCAGCACAGTGCAAAAGTTCTTTAAAATGCTTTTTTTTTCTTTTTTTTTCTAATTCCATTTTGTTTTAAAGCACATTTTAAATGTAGTTTTCTCATTTAGTAAAAGTTGTCTAATTGATATGAAGTCTGACTGGTTATTCTGGTTTGGGATTTTTTGTTTTTTTTTGTTTTTTTTACTATGTAAAAAATTTATGCACGCACCTTGAAAGCTATATACAAATAATGTGCTCACTACATAATGTTTACTTGGGAACAGTGCTGCCTAAAGTAAAACTTAAGAGAAAAATAACCTAATTCCAGTGTTGCTAATTTACATTGTCCTTGCCTTTTTTTTCCCCCTAGCTTGGTGATTTTCTGCATACAATTTTTTTTTTTCTTTTTTTGCCCTTTTGAGACAATTTCCTTGTAGTCCCTGCTGGCCTAGAACTGTGTAAACCAGGCTGGCCTGGAACAAAAAGAGATCCACCTGTCTCTGCCTCCCAAGTGCTGGGATTAAAGGAATGCACCACCACACCTGGCATGCTACATACAATTTAATCCAAATTTTATGGTATTCAAAAATTATTAAGCACACTAGGAATGTGTTAACATGTAATGGATCACACATTTTTTTTTTAGGTGAGTCGGGAATTTTTCATTTATTTTTTAACAAACAAATTATCTTTAATATGCTGACAGAGCATAGGGTGGGGAGTTATTTACAGAAGAGTGGGTGCCCCCTCCCTTTTATGACTGTGCTGGAAAGTTCACACTCAAATATCCTGTGACTTCCCGACAGCCGCACAAAATGGTCAGAGAGGTGCCTCTTGGTGTTCTTGGCTTATATATCCTTAGCCCCTCCCCCACATGCAGCTAAGGTCAACTGATTGGGTGAGAGGGGTAACTGACTCCATTCTTGACTCCTTGATGAGCATAGGAAGAAAGTGTGACTATAGCTTGCCCGCATAGTGGTCAGAGGACACTTCTAAGTAACACTCCACCCCTTCCTCCGGCTCTTACATTCTTTCCACCAACCTTTTCCATAAAAGTCCCTGAGTATCACACAGATTTTTAAAAAGTCAATTACAGTCAATTTCTGTTTTCTTTTTCCTTTTTTTTTTTTTAAAGAAACAAAAGTTTTATTATGTCTCATACTGAATCTACCTTGTTGCCCAGACTGCCTTTGAATTCAAGAATTAGGTCCCAGTGCTGGAATTACAGGTTTGTATCACAATGTCCCCCGTGCCTTGTTGGTGTGGGGAAGAATGTGTGTGTGTGTGTGTGTGTGTGTGTGTGTATGTGTTGAGGCAGAGTCTCACGTAACTCAGCCTGGCCTTAAGGGGGTGTGTGTGTGTGTGTGTGTGTGTGTGTGTGTGTGTAGACAGAGTCTCATGTAACTCGGCCTGGCCTTAAACTGATTGTAATTGTGATTGGCCTGAATTCACCATGTGACTAAAGATCTAAAGATGGCCTGAAATTCCTGATCTTCACCTATGCACACATTACGGGGCCATGCCCAGCTCCTTGTTGAATGGAAAGGATTAACTACAGTGGGATACTTCATATTTGAAGCCTTTTTACATTCTTTGTTCTGATTTTGCCCAATGACAGATTTTAATTTTCAACAAAGTAATGATTTGTGCATAGTGTTAGCTCAGAGTCATTCTTTGTAGCCATCCTTTGTGTGTCAGAAGGGTATCATTGTGATTAGAGTAACAAAAATCTGAAGAAAAGATAGACAGGCTTCATACTGTAAATGCCATACTGAGATCAAACAAGTTCATTTATGATAGTGGTATCAGTGCTCTGGGCTTTGGTCATTCTCCAAAGATTAAAGGGTTTGATTGATAGAGGTGAATTGTTAAACTATACCCTAGAATATAAAGAGACTGAAACCTAACTTGAGAGTGTATTCAAATAGTCTCCAAGTTAAAATGGTTTAACTTACTGATTTTTTCAACTTAACATTTTGTTTTAGTGCAAGAGGAATGCATTTGGTAGACTCCAATACTTGAAATTTTGAAGCTTGATTATTTTTTTCCCCCAAGCTATATTTGGTAGTCTATTCTGGCAGTGCTAGGTGAAGCAGCAAGCCACACATGTGTCATGACTGATAGTCTATGTGCTGTGCTGCTGAGCTGTGGCATTCAGTAGGTTAGGTGTAGTAGGTGCATTTTGGACTTGCATGTCTGCTTATGATGGATCTTTTGGGTCATAACTCCAGCAGAAGCCAGGAAACAGCTGTGCTTAAAAGAAGTAGCCAAGTCTCAGCTAATCACAGCAGCTGAACTTTCCTGTCATGGGCTGCAAACTGCTACAGGGAGACCCTGTCTCAAAAAAGGCCAAATAAATAAATAATTAATTAATTAATAATAAATATAAATAAAATATCCAAGGCAGGGCCTGGGGAGATATGGCTCAATGGTTAAGAGCATGTGGCTACAGAAGGCCCAGGTTCGGTTTCCAGCACCCAAGTCAGGCAGCCCACGGCTCCAGTTCCAAGGGATCTGGTACCCTCTTTTGGCCTCTGTGGGCAGTGCATACACATGGCACACATGCGGGCGAACATATACACACATAAAATAAAAATAAAATCTTTTAGCCAGGCGTGGTGGCACACGCCTTTAATCCCAGCACTTGGGGAGGCAGAGTCAGTCAGATCTCTGTGCGTTCAAGGCCTGCCTGGTCTACATAGTGAGTTCCAGAAATGTATCCAAGGGAAAGCCAGGAATATCTTGATACATCATCAACAGAAATGAAAGCTAAGGGCTGGAGAGATGGCTCAGTGGTTAAGAACACTGGCTGCTCTTGCAGAGGACCCTGGTTCAGTTCCCAGCACCTACATGACAGCTAACAACTGTCTGTAAATCCAGTTCCAGGGGATTCAATGCCTTCTGACCTCTGAGGGCATTGCACAACATGGGTGCACTTACATGCAGGCAATACACTCATACACATAAAATAAAATAATCTTAAAAAAAAAAACGCAAAAAAGGCCGGGTGTGGTGGCGCATGCCTTTAATCCCAGCACTTGGGAGGCAAAGGCAGGTGGATCTCCTGAGTTCAAGGCCAGCCTGGTCTACATAGTGAGTTCCAGGACAGCTGGGGCTACAGGGAGATCCTGTCTCAAAAAGATCCCCCACAAAAAGCGGCAAAAAGTCAAAGCTTATTTCTTTCAGCTACAACCTCCCACATTGGCTTATACCATAACTTCTTTTGATTTCACCATTGTAATTTAGCTTTTCATGCAGGTTGCCAGTGTTTTATTAAATGATGTTGTTACAAAAAATGGCCATAAATCATTCTCTTTTTTCCTTTGGGCATCTTTGCCAGTTAATAATGCACTGTAAAATCTTATGACACTAAGTTGTTTTAGAATGGAAGGTCCCAGGCTGGAGAGATGGGTCAGTGGTTAAGAGCACTGACTGCTCTTACAGAGAACGCAGGTTTGATGCCCAGCACCCACGTGGCAGCTAACAAACATCTATAACTCCAGTACCAGGGGAATCCGATGCCTTCTGACCTCCTCGAGCATTTCATGACATGGGTGCACTTACACATATGTAGGCAACAGCACTCATACACACGAATTTAACAAAAAAAAAAGATTGGAAAGTTCCAAGTGATGTGGGAATGAGGGTAAAGAAGCTGTGTGTGTGTGTGTGTGTGTGTGTGTGTGTGTGTGTGTGTGTGTGTGTGTGTGTTTAACCCAAGACTCCCAAATACAGCATTTCTTTGAAATACTACATAGAAAACTGATACAGCCCAGGATCTATTTCTGAAGGCACTTAATCAAGCTTTGTGGCCTTGGATCACCAAGAAAAATACATGCTAATTTTTACAGCTGCCTCATCTAATTCAGTAAATTCACAGGCCAAAATTATTCCTCCCAAAACAGTAACATCACAGCTAAACATCTGGAACTATCTCACAGGTTATTATACCAATTTACTGAAAGTCATGAAGACATGAAATACAGCATGAAAAAAATCCAAGGGAGTGCCTTGTGTGACAGGTTTAACTTGAACTTTGAAATGTCCTAAGTTTCCTAATATATTTCTTGATTTAAAAAGTGCTCACAAATAAGTCATACTTTTTTTGTATTTTTTTTAAGACAATGTAGCCTAAGCTGCCCTACAGTTTTAATCCTCCTGCCTCAGCTTCCTGAGTGCTGAGATCAGAGGTGTGAGTCACCATGCCAAGCTAACTTTCCATGCAAGTATATAACCTTCTGATAGCTGGCACAGAATGCTCTGGGAAAGTGTACTTCTTGTAGAGATCATGAATATAGTGCACTAAATTAAAAATAAGCTACTTGTTGCCTCAGAAAAATCTAGGTGAAGCCCAGGGTCCAACTCAGCATGTTGAGCTGATACACATACGCAACTAGTAAGAAGTCTTAACTTGGCATACTGACTTACACCTGTAATCTCAGCATTCAGGAAGCTGAGGCAGGAGGATTGTCCTGTTAGGCCAACCTGGGTTGTAGAGCAAGACTAATCTCAAGAAAGCCACCAGCAAGACAAACTTTAAAAGACCACATATTGCTAGGTGTGGTGGTGCACACCTTTAATCCCAGCACTCAGGAGACAGAGGCAGGAGGATCTCTGTGAGTTTGAGGCCAGCCTGGTCTACATAGTTCCAGGACAACTCAGGCTACAGGGAGACCCTATCTCAAACAAAACCAAAAAAGATCCCATTTCAGCCATATGTGATACACATATAATCCTAGCTTTTGGAAGTTGGTGGCAAGAGGATAAGGAATTTCAAGGTCAACTTCAGCTGTTAGGA